GCGAGCTAAAAGCGTGCTTGTTTCTACCTTATCGTTTTTCGCAAAACGCTTCTCAATTTCGGCAAGGAAATCTTTAGCCTTAGTAATCCCTTCGGATTCTATGCCCCTGAAGGCTTCCGGAACGCCGCGCTTAATGATCATAAGACTCATGCGATTTGAACGCTCCCACTTCTCATGCTCCTTCTTTGCATCAGGAGTGCTATCCGCATTGAGAGGTTGGGGTTGTTCAGTTCTTAATGCATAGTCAAGATCCATGCAGCCAAGAACAATTAATATGTTCTCTTTCCAAACCTTGAAGTTTGTCCCATTTAGCATGGGAATTGAGTTGATGTTAGCAGAAATTGTTGCAGCAGATGCATTAGCTGAAATAAAACAAAAATGCTCACATCAATAACCATAATCAATAAAATTCAAATAATGACAATCCCCATCCAAGATACCGGCACAACATTAATATCAAGTCTTTGGACAGTAATATTAACTTGTAAGTGATACCTTGTTGCAATGATCAAACATTGACAATAACTCATGTCAAATAATGAAACTATCTTTGGATCGATTCATTATTCACATGTAAACCTTATAATTGTCACACGCTTATCATCGCAGATGTGTATACAGTCTAAATAAATATTAACCTTCCTTTGGGCCGATTAAATATTTACACGAAAGCATACACACAAACATCTCACATTCCTCATGAACAATCTACACAAGAGAGGTTACTTTGGCAACTTCTTGTTTCAATTAATCAATTGGAGTGAGAGACAACCTTAATACCTTAGTGTCATAATATTTGAATTAAATAATTGATTAAAAACCGAATTAGATTTAAATTAAAAAATTTAAATCAACTGAATTTCCAAAAGCTTGGTTGGGGTCTCACAGCTTAATTAGGGCCCATAACTTAATTGAATAAATTAAGTATACCAAAGTGGACCCATGAAAAGCCGAGGCTTAACCATAATGAACACGAAGTTCCCTTAACTTCGAACGCGAGGTTCGACTGTATTGAGTACGAGACTCACTTAAGCACGAACGCGAGGTTCGTCTGAAAATGAACGAACGCGAGGTTCGTTTGATAAAAGAACGCGAGGTTCAACTTGGGAACGAACGCGAGGTTCGTTAAAAAAAATGAACGCAAGGTTCAACTGAAGTACGAACGCGAGGTTCGTCTGAAGTACGAACGCGAGGTTCGTCTGAAGTTCGAACGCGAGGCTCGACTGAAGCACGGACGCGAGGCTCGTCTGAAGTACGGACGCGGTCTGAAGTACGAACGCGAGGTTCGTCTGAAGTTCGAACGCGAGGCTCGACTGAAGCACGGACGCGAGGCTCGTCTGAAGTACGGACGCGAGGCCCGACTGAAGTACGAACGCGAGGTTCGTCTGAAGTACGAACGCGAGGTTCGTCTGAAGTACGAACGCGAGGTTCGTCTGAAGAACGAACGCGAGGTTCGTTAAAAATTGAGCTTGACGCTCACCTGAGTTGAACGCGGAGGTTCACCTTAGAACGAACGCGAGGTTCGTTAAAATTGAGCTTGACGCTCACCTGAGTTGAACGCGAGGTTCACCTTAGAACGAACGCGAGGTTCGTTGAGCGCGAAGCTCGGTTAAAATTGAACGAACGCGAGGTTCGTTTGAGGTAACCACCTCCTTAATTTTCGCCATGAACCCTTAGGGTTTCAAATTGAAACCGCCGCCGACAAACCCAAAAAACCTTTGATTTTTATTTTCAAAACAGATCCAGAATTGGAAAAAATTGAAGGAAAAAATCAAAGAAAAATCCAAAAAATTCCCAAAAGGTACTGTTCACCGGTGATTTTTCAGTTACTGTTCATCCGAAAAAAATTTCGTTACTGTTCATCCGAGAACATTACTGTTCATCCGAACCCAAAAAATTGAATCTTTAACCAGAGATTTAAGATCAAAAACCCAATAAAACTTAAATCCCTAAGAATTAATCAAGGTGGCTCTGATACCACTCGTTAGATCTACATCATAAAACTTGAGATCTAAAACCATATAGCCATGATTAATTCAAAGAGATTAACAAGGATCTAAAAGAGCGGAAGCTTATACCTGAATCCATTGCTTGATCTTGATTTTGGGTGTTGGATCTTCTAACCTTAGGGTTCTCTCTAAAACCGAATTTCTCTAGCTAGATGGGGGTGTAGAGAATTAGAGAATGTAACCCTAGGTTAGGGACCATAACTCCTTATTTATAGATGTTGTACTTTTGTAATTTAGCCCCTCAATAAATTACAATTACAACCTGGTATCTGCACATATAACCCCATGACTTATTTAAATACCAAATTAACCCAACTTAATTGATCACTTTAGTGGGTTATCCTGAAAGATAGCAATACACATTGTTTAATCATATGTGCCCACAAATAGATTTATTAGATTAAATCCAACATTTCTTACACACTTGGTTATAATGAAAAAATTTTAATTTATATTGCTGCTAGACTTTGGTCCTTGTTGGTGTTAGCTACATTCCACATAGATCACTTGCTCCAGGCTTATGTTGCCAATTAGATATGTGAAACACAGATTTTGATGAGTCGATTTAAAAGCTCGATGGTCATTTCACCTCTTATTTCTTTCGGCAGGTGCATTTGGAGCTTCTTCAGCTCAATCCCTTGTCTCAAGGAGCATAACTATCACAATGAGGGTAATTGGATGTTATTGTTCTGATTCGTTATTTACCATGTTTGCAAAATTTGGTTGGTAAAATGAATTTCAAGTGATTATTACCCTGCAACTTTGGATCTTTCTATGCACAATGCCACGTTGATAGAATATATAATTTATCATGATGAAGCTTTGGACACACTGATGTCGTATGATCCAAATTAGTTGATAGAGGAGTATAATTCAAACTCGATATTGAAGGATTAAACAAGTATTCACATAGCAGGAAATAGCATATGTATGCAGTTTTATTACATTTATATGAGGCTTGATGGTATAGTTTAAAAAAACTCGATATCGAGTACAATTATAGCAAATACCACAACCTTGACTTGAACAATGATGCTTATATTAGAAAAATATGTACAGGTTCTTTAATTAAGAATTTTTATAGATAGTTTTTTTATATGTAAGCAATGGATTTGTGGCTACCCCTATCGAGCAATCCTGCTTATACGTTTGTTACGGTTCTCAAAATAAGGATTTTGGTTTTCATCTGGGAACTCCGTAGAAGGATATGCTCTCATTAGGAATTCGATAGCCCAAAAATTCCAAATTAAGTACAAGTTTGCAAACTTTGAAGTAAATCAGATTTAAAAGTAGATAGATGCAGTGGCACCGACTCAGTTCTAGAATTGAGGGTAGTTCTTTAGATTTATAATGAAAAGGGTTATTTTCACTTAAATACCCCAAAGTTCAGTCTATTTTAAATTTGATACACCAAAGGGATTTTTGTTCAAAATATTTCCCAAAGTGCCTCTTTTCCAACTTTAATACCCAAATGTTTGCTTGTTTAGAAAGTACGCCAAAGTTCAATATAGATTAACTTCTATACCCCGAACTTTAGCAAAAAAAAAATAAGTTTGGATGTCAAAGTTAAATTTTGTTCAACTTTGGGCATTAAAGTTCAAATTTTTGAATTTTGGGCGTGCCAAAGTTAATTTTTTTCGTATGTTAGGGTATTTTTTTGGCAAATTTTTTTTGGGATATTGAAGCAAAACTTTGCTCATCTATGTGGTATTTTCTGCAAAAATACACTGGGATATTTAAGTTTAAATTATTCTAATAAGAGCAAGTATACTTTTGATGTAAGCATACGTTTGATGTATATACTCTGGTCTAATGATTGCTTCATTTACTTTATTGTAGGTGAATTTCAATGAAAGTTTGATGAGATCCGTAAGAAGCGGGTGCGAGTTCTAAGTCTCGGGCGAAAATCAAAATTAGTGAGAGAATCCTAGTCGATGAAGCTGCTTAAATTTAGTTTTTATGCTTGAAATTTTAGGTGAATTTATGACATTTCGATGTTAGACATACATTTCCTGAAGACTTTTCTTGCGGTAATATTTTCGAGCTTGTGGCTGAGTTACGAAACATTTTGTTCCTATTGTAGACTTCCAGCACAGTTATTCTGTTGTTTCAGTTTTAATTTTGCTACAGTTTATTTTCCAGAGTTTTGTGTGATTTACTTGTTAGAATTTAGAATGTTCTTGTTTGATGCATTTGCTAGCATCATATCTCTGTATCTTTTTTTTTTCTTGTTGACAAGGGAAACCCGGTCACCACTCATAGTTTTAACTCCTTTTATCTTTGGAGAAGCTAAAATGACATACTTTCAATCTCCATTCAGAAGTTTCTTTTGGCTCCAAATTTAACTTTCTCGTTTTAAGGATTGAGTTATTAACAGTTATAAAAGCATGCAATAAGACAAGCTCATAGTAATGCTTTCATTTGAATGTGATAACATTCTCTCTTTGTTATAAAAGCATGCAATAAGACAAGCTCATAGTAATGCTTTCATTTGAATGTGATAACATTCTCTCTTTCACACTTAAGAGCTAGTTTAGGGATGCTTTTAGTAATGCTTTCATTTGAATGTGATAACATTCTCTCTTTCACACTTAAGAGCTAGTTTAGGGATGCTTTTAAGTTTAAATGATTATTATGTTTGTGAGGCGCTTTGAATTTGTAATCAATAAATTTGAAAATTATGTGTATGCTAACAATAGATTTGAAATCATGGGATTTGAAATCCTTTTATTTAAAAACTGTATCCAAACAAGTGATTTGTAAATCTATGGATTTCAAATTTTAGATTTCAAATTATGAGATTTCAAATCTTTATCTCAAATTCAAATCTTGTTTCCCAAACACAGCCTTAATTGATTTATATTGTGTTTTAGTTTCTACATAGAGGACAAAAGCAGCAACACAAACTCGACGTCTTCCAGAGCACATACAATTTCATGGGAACATCAGATTCAGATAGGTTATGTTGCAACCGCTCTAGATAACAAGAAATCAAGAAATGTACATGTCCAGTAGTAGCCAAAATTTATTGTATGAACCAATTACTTTCTGATCATCTTTCAATTGCGGAACAAGAGAAAAAAAAAATACAAAATGGAGTTACTTTTCGATATTTGCTCCCCTTTCTATTTACATTCTGCTAAAAAAATCTCCTTCGTCTACAACGAAATGCATGTAACAAATGTACCCAGAGAATCCCCTATTGGACAGGTTTCGAAGACATAAAACCAGTGATATGGTGAAATTAAACTTTCACATAAGCCTATGTTCGTGTCTAATCAGATCAGAACTCGACGATTTTTTGCACCAACCCAACTTGTCAGAGCACATATATGACATTTACCGAAAGCGGAAACGCAAGGCACTGCTTATATCCAGAAAGTATGACCATTTATATTGTCATGCACAAGATCCATCTCTAGTAGACTCCCATAATAAGCTGCAAATCCCATTATAAAACAAAACGCGTTAGAACATATGTTACCATGTATGAGTTTACGATATGGAAAACAAAATCACAAAATTCATTAGCAATATATGCATGCAGAAGCATTCTAGAGGGGTTGTTGTTCAGCGATATATCCCAAGATCATAAACACTAGGAATCTGATTACACAGAATGTAGAATAGTTACCATGTAATAACCATTAAAACATGCGAGTTCAAAGAAAATTCCGAACAAAATTATCTACGGAGCTCTATTAGTTTCCCAACATAAGTATCTTACAAATCAAGGTGAAGAAATTATGTCACGAAAATGAATCTATCTTAGTTTCATGATCTTCTTAGTGCCAAAGTGAGTAGAGTAAAAGTTCTTTCTTTTTATGTTCTGCATTATACCATTCCTACTTCAAGACTTTCTACCAGTCGTTGTTCTGATTTGACACTAGTTAATAGAGGAAAAGAGAATCCTATAGAGAGCCCTCTATAGAGTATCTTATGTTGGGGGTGGTGTTAGATCCTAGAGAGGGGTGATTAGGGTCTTCTGCTAATCTAATCCCGATTAAATGCCAATTAAAGTTATATTGATTAAAATGTTCTTGCAAGAACTATATGCAATTAAAGTTATATTGATTAAAATGTTCTTGCAAGAACTATATGAGATGGATATGAGCAAGAATGATATGAATAAGCACTGCAAGAACTATATGAGATGGATATGAGCAAGAATGATATGAATAAGCACAAATAAAATGTACGCTAAGAAAAACACAAACAAACGATATGTTTACGAGGTTCGGTCACCACGACCTACGTCTCCGCTCCTCACCCGCTCCTCACCTCGAGGAGATCTCCACTATCACAATCCGGTTTGGAAGCCCGGAACTTCTACACACTCGGTTTACAAGTTTATCGAAAACTTTCACACAACAAATACTATGCAATCACACTTTACACACTACGTGTAGGAACCTAGCCCGTGTTCTCCTCCTCAAGTGTTCGGATGCAACCTCTCCCTAGGTTCGTCAACTGACGCCACTCCTATTGGATTCGACCCCGTCTCACGTCTCAAACTTCTCTCGGTGTACAAGTGTATTACAAGTGATACTCACAATAAAGGTTAAATACAATGGTTTGTTCTCGATAACAAATGAGAACGCAATGAAGCTCTCTTACTAAATCACACACCGCCACCCAACAAATATATAGTATGGAAATATTATAAGCTCAATACAGTGTGTGTGATATCAGTGAACAGAAAATATACAACTCAATAAATATAGCTTAGATATGAAATTAAAATAAAAGGCTATATGCAAAATGAGTTAGGAAAACTTCTCAATAGACAAGAAGAACAGTAGATGTAATTGAAATCCTCTTCTTGTTGTAGGAAACTTCTTTTGAAACAGACTGACGAAATCAGCTTAACAACTCTTAAACAAATCTTAATCTTTTGTTAAAACTTATTGTAAAACAAACTTCTTGATGGTTGAAAGAGGAAGGCAATGGGGTATTTATACCTACTCAAAATAGCAGCCAAAACAAACTTGAAAAGACCAAAATAGCCCCAGAAAATCAAATCAGAAAAGAAATTAATGGATATCCTTGTCATAGGATTGGATTTTCCTCCTTGTCGTCTATGTGGCACAATCCCCGCCATTCTCATAAAGTAGACACAAATCCCCACCAACTCACACTCTCTCCTACTTTATGAGAATGGTGGGGATTGTGCCACATAGGCATCAAGGAGGAAATCCCCTCCTATGACAAAGATACTTATTAATCTCATCAGAAAATAGCCGTTAGAAAGCAATTATGAGTTCAGCGGTCGATCGTGAGAAACTGACGGTCGACCGCGAAGCACAAAAAGGCTGAGAAAGAAATTTAAAAGCTGGCGGTCGATCGTCGCGGTCGACGTCGAACCGCCGGCGATCGACCGTCGACCGCGCGCGATCGACCGTCGACCGCGCCCGGACGATCGACCGCGAAAGTCTCTGGATGGAACCACGGTTGACGCGTCACGGTCGACACGGTCGACCGTCACGGTTGACGCGCGGTCGACCGTCACGGTTGACCGCGAACAATAAAAGCCATACTAAGAAAATTTAACTGCTGACGGTCGACGTGACGGTCGACCGCAAACTGATACATGACAATATACAGGTTTTGGGCTTGATTTTAAAAAATACGTTAAAAAATATCAAAATCAATTCCAAAAATAGTAAAACTTGGGGAAAAGTTTCTAATTGATAAAATAAACAATGTTTGAGAAGGAATTTTTGGAAAAACAATTTTCGTTTGTGAAAACCCACTGTTTTTGAAAAGTGTTCATAAAACCTGTTTTTCGCGGAAGCATGAAAAATTAAAAAAATATAACTTGTAAACTTGTATATATATATATATATATATATATATATATATATATATATATATATATATATATATATATATATATATATATATATCATGCATACATTATATATATAATGAAGTATGAATGAGCTGTAAACACGAAATAAAAACTATTATAATAAAGTTTGATGAAAAATCATTTATATGATAGAAAACGTCAAATCTGTGTTGTGTTTACATATTAAGCTTAAATATAAACATACAATATATGTAAGCAAACTACTCTTATACCTAGGTGAATGCACACACATGAACTTGAATCTTTAACTCTTGATTGTCGTGTGTTGAATTACCTGAAAAGAAAAAAACCAAACAACGGAAAATAAAAAACATATTAGCTATAAATTATTTGACAAATCATCATCAAAACTATAGGGCCAACAATCTCCCCCATTTTAATGATGGCAAACAATTTATTTAATGGTATGAAATACATATTGATAAATCAAATAAATCAAACATATATAACATGAATAAACCATATTAACATGAATAAATAAACCATATAACCACACATCATTACATTCCATCAATATGAATCAATATAAATAAACCATTAAACTGAACATCAATATGTAGATTTTCTCCCCCTTTGGCAACATCAAAAAGGGAAAAGGAATATATATAGGAGCAACGCTCCCCCTGCATTCAAGCACAGATAATAAACAAATATATGGCCAACGCTCCCCCTGTCAATTTGCATAAATGACATAACAAAAAGAACATATATATGGGAGCTACACATCCATAAGCAATTTAACAAGCTATTAAGACCATAAACACAGGAATCAAAAGCCAAACTTTTAACACAAAGCATCATTAATAAGCATGTTTTCACAATACATAGTTCATAGAGATAGTCATAAGCTATCACAAGCATAATAAACAGAAATAGTTCCACAATATCACATAATTTTCAAACACAAAACGTAGAGTTATTACAACTCAAAATAAAACATAAGTATCCAGTTTTAGTTCAACAAAACATAAACTCAATAACATCAAGAGTCAATCACCACCATCGTCAGATGCAGAGCCGGAGCTAGATCCCGAACCAGAAGCAGATCCTTCATCAGAGCCCTCTCCTGAACTAGAGTCAGAGTTGGAATAGGGATCCGGAATCCCAAGAGACTGACGCCGATAGCTGAGAATAGTCCTAATGTTCTTCTGAATACTTGAGACCTGAGTCTCAAGACGATCCAGTCGGACGAAGACCTCAGAAGCGAAACAGAAGAAGCTCTAGAGCGAGATCGGGAAGATGATGGTATAGTGGGATCAGATAAGGAGTCAGAAATTTGCATACGGGAGAGAGAAACTCTATCAAATATTCCTTACTCGGGTCAACTTTGAGTTCATTGGTCAGAGCAACACCGAAGTGTTGGGGAATAAGGGTGATGAAGCAACCAAATGGTAGAAACTTGTAATGCTTACATGTCATGTTTTTAAGGAAAACATTTTTAAGGAAAACATTTGCCCAATTCACTTTTATCCTGGCAAAAATGGCATTGACTTTATCAGGAGCAAAATGATCAAAGCTACCGGTCTTAGGAATAAGATTATGAGCAACAATACGAGCAATGATTTTAGCAGTGAGATTAAGTGACTTGTTGTTCATAGGGTAGGTGCAACCGAGTTTAAACATAGAATCGTTCACAACCTGATCGGTGTTCGATAGACATGAGCTCAACGTCACTTGACGGGATCTTAAGGATTCCCGCAAGTTCGTCGGCAGAAGTGTTCGATAGACATGAGCTCAACGTCACTTGACGGGATCTTAAGGATTCCCGCAAGTTCGTCGGCAGAAAATGAAATAGGAACATTCTTAACAGGATTCCCGCAAGTTCGTCGGCAGAAAATGAAATAGGAACATTCTTAACAGATGTACTGATGGTTTGAAGACCACCAGCAGAAGTGGTGACAGACAGATTTCCATAAAACAAATAGACGAGAAATGGGTAATAAGGAACTTTACGCTTCTCATCTAACAGTTTATGCAAACCAACAGCAGAAAAGATCTCATGAATATTATAAATAGCTAATTCCTCATATTTGATATATCTACCAGATAGAATTTTCAACTTACAAAGCTCCCTATACTTTTTAACTAGGGGTTTAAACAGTAGAAAATCCTCATAATTAGAGGCAATGGAAGATGAGGAACCAACATCTTGTTTCGATTTCTTTCTAGGAGGCATAATATCAGAATTTAGAGGCAATGGAAGATGAGGAACCAACATCTTGTTTCGATTTCTTTCTAGGAGGCATAATATCAGAATTAAGAAAAATAAGACTTGAAAGATCGATTTCTTTCTAGGAGGCATAATATCAGAATTAAGAAAAATAAGACTTGAAAGATCGGAACCAAACAGAATCCCTAGAAATAGACAATGAAACCCTAAGAGGGAATGGAAGCAAGAAGGATGAGAGGAGTGATTACTCAAACAGATTTCCAACTGAGATTGATGAAGAGAGACCGCCACGGTCGACCGCAAGAGAATTTTTTTATTTTGGTTTTATTTTCTTATCGGGTTTCGGTTTCTGGTTGCTAACTTTTCTGAACCCGATTCTTCCATCACCCTTGATCTCAATTGACATCAGATCCAAGCCGCTCCTTCTTCTCTAAGACCCGACCCTCTTCATCTTCCCCCATTCGAAAATTTTCCTCAATATTATCGATTTCCCCTTCACGGTCGCCCACAGCTCTCCATTGATAGACCGCGGCCATCTCTCTTCATCAATCTCAGTTGGAAATCTGTTTGGGTAATCACTCCTCTCATCCTTCTTGTTTCCATTCCCTCTTAGGGTTTCATTGTCTATTTCTATGGGTTCTGTTTGGTTCCGATCTGTCAAGTCTTATTTTTCTTAATTCTGATATTATGCCTCCTAGAAAGAAATCGAAACAAGATGCTGGTTCCTCATCTTCCATTGCCTCTAATTATGAGGATTTTTTACTGTTCAAACCCATGGTTAAAAAGTATAGGGAGCTTTGTAAGTTAAAAATTCTATCTGGTAGATATATCAAGTATGAGGAATTAGCTATTTATAATATTCATAAGATCCTTTCTGCTGTTGGTTTGCATAAACTGTTAGATGAGAAGCGTAAAGTTTCTTATTACCCATTTCTCGTCTATTTGTTTTATGCAAATCTGTCTGTCACCACTTCTGCTGATGGTCTTCAAACCATCAGTACATCTGTTAAGAATGTTCCTATTTCATTTTCTGCCGACGAACTTACGGGAATCCTTAAGATCCCGTCAAGTGACGTTGAGCTCATGTCTATCGAACACACCGATCAAGTTGTGAACGATTCTATGTTTAAAACCGGTTGCACCTACCCTATGAACAACAAATCACTTAATCCCACTGCTAAAATCATTGCTCGTATTGTTGCTCATAATCTTATTCCTAAGACCGGTAACTTTGATCATTTTGCTCTTGATAAAATCAATGCTGTATATGTCATTTTTGCCAAGATAAAAGTGAATTGGGCAAATGTTTTCCTTAAAAACATGACATGTAAGCATTACAAGTTTCTACCATTTGGTTGCTTCATCACCCTTATTCCCCAACACTTCGATGTTGCTCTGACCAATGAACCCAAAGTTGACCCGAGTAAGGAATATTTTGATAGAATTTCTCTCTCCCGTATGCAAATTTCTGACTCCTTATCTGATCCCAGTATACCATGATCTTCCCGATCTTGCTCTAGAGCTTCTTCTGTTTCAGCTTCTGAGGTCTTCGTCCGACTGGATCGTCTTGAGACTCAGGTCTCAAGTATTCAGAAGAACATTAGAACTATTCTCAGCTATCAGCGGGTCTCTTGGGATTCCGGATCCCTCTTCCAGCTCTGACTCTAGTTCAGGAGAGGGCTCTGATGAAGGATCTGCTTCTGGTTCGGGATCTAGCTTCGGCTCTGCATCTGACGATGGTGGTGATTGACTCTTGATGTTATTGAGTTTATGTTTTGTTGAACTAAAACTGGATACTTATGTTTTATTTTGAGTTGTAATAACTCTACGTTTTGTGTTTGAAAATTATGTGATATTGTGGAACTATTTCTGTTTATTATGCTTGTGATAGCTTATGACTATCTCTATGAACTATGTATTGTGAAAACATGCTTATTAATGATGCTTTGTGTTAAAAGTTTGGCTTTTGATTCCTGTGTTTATGGTCTTAATAGCTTGTTAAATTGCTTATGGATGTGTAGCTCCCATATATATGTTCTTTTTGTTATTTCATTTATGCAAATTGACAGGGGGAGCTTTGGCCATATATTTGTTTATTATCTGTGCTTGAATGCAGGGGGAGCGTTGCTCCTATATATATTCATTTTCCCTTTTTGATGTTGTCAAATGGGAAGAAAATCTACATATTGATGTTCAGTTTAATGGTTTATTCATATTGATTCATATTGATGGAATGTAATGATGTATGGTTATATGGTTTACACTATGTGTGTGTACATGTGTATGTGATGAAGAGGCTTGATGGGATGCACAATCATGAATAGGCTTGTCAATTTTTTATGCATTATGACAAAATTAGGCTAAATGGCATTTAAGACCGCAAATAGAACATTTGTGAATTTTATCATACATGTGTGTATAGTGAATAGGTTTCTTAGAAGAATTAACATTGAACTTTGCACACAAGTCCATAAGCTTTTTATTATTAGCAATACAAGTGTTCAGTGTTGAATCTAAGGTAGATATGCGTTTTCTCATTTGATTCAACTCATCATTGTGCATACAAGCATTGCTACTAGAAGTAGGATAAACATGATTATTCATCATAGATTTTAACTTATCTACTTCTAACATGGCATCACGTTTTTCATGAAACAAACTAGCATTTTCTAATCTCAAATTTTTATTGCATTATTTAAGAATTATATTTTTATTTGCAATGAAATTAAACTTAATGGCTAGTGTTTCATTAGTGAATTTTATATTAACATACTTATTTTTTACATCTATATAGCAATTATGTAATTTTTCAAACTCAAGAGCAAGCTCATCAAAAGTAATAGTATCATCGTTGTCAAGATCGCATACCTCACTAGGGTTATCACCTAGTGGTATTGTACATGGAGATGAGGCTTCTTTAGAATTCAAAACGGGATTTTCCAACGCTTATTGAATAGCCTCCAAATCCCCTTGATGTGCTTCAATGAATTTTCATAGGGTGTAAGCACTATCAAAATGAACAAATTTATTAAAAAACGATGAGTGAAAGACACTAAGCAAATATTCTAACAAAAGCTTGTTCATGTTAAACATTCTCTTATCATCTTTATTCCACTTGGATTTTTCCGAAGTGGGAATAATATAAGCATCCTCAATAATTTCCCATAAATCAAATTGTTTAGATTGAACAAAAAGTTTGAATCTAACACGCCATTGAGCATAGGAAAAAATATCCAAATGAGGAGCAATATTAATAGCATAACCTAAACTAGATGCATCATACATATCTATAATAATTATATGCAAGAAGTAAAATGCAATCAACACTAGATTAGTACAAAAACAATAACTTGGATCTTAAACTCAAGGCGATTAGTCCTTAAATCAAATAGCACCAAGCTCTGATACCAATTGTTAGACCCTAGAAGGGGGGTGATTAGGGTCTTATGCTAATCTAATCCCGATTAAATGCCAATTAAAGTTATATTGATTAAAATGTTCTTGCAAGAACTATATGAGATGGATATGAGCAAGAATTATATGAATAAGCACAAATAAAATGTACGCTAAGCAAAACACAAACGATATGTTTACGAGGTTCGGTCACCACGACCTACGTCCCCACTCCTCACCTCGAGGAGGCATTCACTATCACAATCCGGTTTGAAAGTCGGAACTTCTACACACTCGGTTTACAAGTTTACCGAAAACTTTCACACAACAAACACTATGCAATCACACTTTACACACTACGTATAGGAACCTAGCCCGTGTCCTCCTCAAGTGCTCGGATGCAACCTCTCCCTAGGTTCGTCAACTGACGCCACTCCTATTGGAGTCGACCTCGTCTCACGCCTCACACTTCTCTCGGTGTACAAGTGTATTACAAGTGATACTCACAATAAAGGTTAAATACAATGGTTTGTTCTCGATAACAAATGAGAACGCAATGAAGCTCACTCTCACTAAATCACACACCGCCATCCAACAAATATATAGTATGGAAATATTATAAGCTCAATACAGTGTGTGTGATATCAGTGAACCGCCACCCAACAAATATAAAGTATGGAAATATTATAAGCTCAATACAGTGTTTGTGATATCAGTGAACAGAAAATATACAACTTAATAAATATAACTTAGATATGAAATTGAAATAAAAGGCTATATGCAAAATGAGTTAGGAAAACTTCTTAATAGACAAGAAGAACAGTAGATGATGTAATTGAAATCCTCTTCTTGTTGTAGGAAACTTCTTTTGAAACAGAGTGACGAAATCAGCTTAACAGCTCTTAAATAACTCTTAATCTTTTGTTAAAACTTATTGTAAAACAAACTTCTTGATTGTCGTGTGTTGAATTACCTGAAAAGAGAAAAACCAAACAACGAAAACTAGAAAACATATTAGATTACCTGAAAAGAGAAAAACCAAACAACGAAAACTAGAAAACATATTAGCTATAAATTGTTTGACAAAACATCATCAAAACTATAGGGCCAACAGGACGAAAACTAGAAAACATATTAGCTATAAATTGTTTGACAAAACATCATCAAAACTATAGGGCCAACAGGTGGGGGGTGACATCTAGTGCAGTTAGACCTATCAGTATAGGGTGCAGTCACCGCTACGCTAATAGACAATAAGGACAGCACAGATAGACATTGGTAGTATGTGCATCAAGATTCTTAATGTCAAATGCCACCCTTTCCTTCCTACACTATGTTCTATGAAGGATAGATTTACATTAGTAAGTACATACTTTGATATGTTTAATATTTTCTGAACGCATGGAAACAAATTGAGATTCAAAATTTCATGGATAAACAAATTCAGCACTTCCTTCAATTCAAAAAAATACATGCTCAAAGTCAAACAAAATAGAAAACTATAGAGCATAAAGAAACACCTTACAAAAAGGAAGCTTATACTGCCAAGGACATTGCAAAATGAGCAAATTTTAGAAAATCTACCAAAACATTGGGACGTTTCCCACAAAACCAATCAAAACTTTGGTTTGTGAAATTTACCTCTTTCAGAATTATGTTACTTTCACATATAAAACTCTTTATAGGATTTTTATATGCACTCTTAATAACTTTAAATATTTGGACTGGACGAGAGGATATAAATTTCATTCATAATATATATGGTAATTAACCCATAATCCATTCAAATAGGCTAAAAATGTCCACAATCTAACCCATAATCCATTCAAATAGGCTAAAAATGTCCACAATCTATTGAAAAATAGGATTAAATGATTAATTGCACATAGAACCTTGTATTATAGCTAAAAATGTCCACAATCTATTGAAAAATAGGATTAAATGATTAATTGCACATAGAACCTTGTATTATAGAATTTTGTCACGTACTAACCTTGAACTTTGATATGCGCATGTACACCCCCTTACACAAATGGTGTTAGAACTCCATTAATTCTTTTTCTATGTGGATCCCACCTGACAAATCCTCAATTTTAATCCCCAGATTCCCTTACTGCTAAAATGTCTTCCTTTTTTTCATTTGTTGCCAGATGCATTCCTCTGCCTTAAGAGTAATTATGCACTCATGGACGAATGCTTAATGAGATCATATTTTAGAACACTGATACAGCCTTATAATAGAGCAATCTACACGCAATTGACCCAAATATTTACTCCCCGTCAAAAGCTAAATCTTTAGTTTAAAGTTATTAATACAGAAAAGAAAATCGCTGAAACTTGATGCAATTAGATTATTAGTCTTACAAGTGTTCGTATCTATTGTGTGTATGTGTGTGTATTATTTTTTATTTTGAGGTTCCCCGTTCTTCTCCAAACAAACTCATTTTTCTATGATGTTTTGATTTGACAATGTTGCTAACATGGCAGATAATCACATATTTGTAGTTCATAACTTACAAACAGCTGAGCTTAATAAAATAACCTCTTCAAAAATAATGATATTTATTAATTTACTTTACATAATTACTGACTTATGTGTATGACTATCTTAGGCTTGTTGCCCTTTTTTTGGACATTATACATATTGTACTTCCAATCTGCTTTCCATTGGGTCTAAGGACTTAACAATACAACTGTAATACTACTTTCTTCTGCCCATCTTCAACTATAGAAATTAATATTTTATTGAAGATCAACAAAATGGAGTTTTATCATTCCACAATAGAAATAAAATGCCAATAGTCTTGAAAGGAAATCAAGGTGACCCAATTACTAGTTACACTAATACATGATACTAGCAGAGAGGTGTTATTAGTTCTGTTTGATAGACATACTAACATGAATTTATACATGCATGTAAAGATAAATATGTAAAATATGTGACCACAGATTTCTTATTAACCTTTTAGGAAGACAATTTTTAGCCACTGAGTTGTAATTTCTTTGAATAAAAAACTAATTGCTTGAGTAAAATGGTTGCAGCAGTGTAGTGGAAAAAATACTGTAAAAAACTAATTTATTCTCAATTTACCTTTAACTCTACTCCCGGTTTCAGTCTAACCTCTTCAATCACCTTGCCTCCAGGAATGATCCTCACCCGAGTTTGACAAATCTTGACATCACCATCACTGCATTTTTTGCTTGAAAAGTAATATAAGAGCATATAGGACCTCCACATTCGCAATTAATCTTGATTATTGATCTCAACCATTTGGAGATCCTATTGGAATCAACCAATATGAACATGCCATCAGAAATACCTAGAAGAAACCAATTGTTGGGCTTACCCCTCATAACACTAGACACAAAATTGCTGCTTATGACAATAAAAAAATCATCCTTTACGATTATTATATTATTATTAGTATTATTGTTGCAAGAAAAATCAAATTAGGCAATTTTCCAAAAAAAAAAAAATCCTGAACATATACAAAGGGGATTTCATTTCATTTTTATGGAAAAACTATAATTAAGCAATATCTAGTATGCTAGAGTCTAATTATCTTGGATCCATCAATCATATAATCTGTTTCCACTTTTATGATCTACTCTTTCTCAAATATACGAGCTATACTTTATCTGAACCCCAAATACATAGCCACACAGTAATCAAACATTGAAAATTTGCAACTCAAAAAAAACTCATTGCATAATATTTTAATACTGAGATTAAAGGGAAACCAAACAAAGACCTTAAATTGCGACTCTAAATCAGTCAAACAAGAAAATCCAATTGAAAGTTTATATTTCATTTAGTGACAAATGAAAGTAAGAACTAAGAAGTTAAATCCCAGAACATTGCCAATCATTGCCAATCACTGAATGAGCTGCATTCTCCAGATTATTCACTTGTCCGGAGAAACAAAATCTTATAGCATTCACTCATCAAGAAGTACGGGGTAGGAAACTCTCGATATGAGAGGCACATGATCCTCCGGGAGGCTCTTCAAACTCTCATAAATCCGCCATTTGCCCAATCAGTGCCTTGAAAGTTTTCTATTATCCAATAGTTTAGTTTTTCTGTCGCACTATATCCATATCCCACAACCAAAATAGCATGTTTGAGAATATCCATCTTCGGATACTGTTCTCGGTTTGCCCACAAATATTTCCTTGAAAAACAATATAAAAATAAATTATGATTGCTTTGGGGGTAAGTTTGTAAATATCTAGATTTTAGGGATAAATTTACAAATATATTAGATTTTGGAGGTACATATACAAAAAAACAACCCCAAAATTATTTGTGGAAAGTGTATAAGTAGAAAAGAGGAAAACTTAGGAGGATTGTATGAGATTTTTCATCCAAGACAAAATTAACTATTTCTCCTAATTACATGTGTTGCTATATAGAAAGTGTACGTAGAAAAAATAAAATTTATACCTCTTATCGTTTCATGTAATATCCCTGAAACAAACATCGCCGCACCTCTATCATGGTAGGGACAGGGTGCGC